TGGCAATAATGAATACAAGAAACTGCCACTTATGGCATAGAAAGCACCTGATGCTTGTATGTAACTGATTTTCTTGCAGGATCTCCAGGAGTCTGAAGTCTCATCCCATATATCGCTTCCTCTTTAGAGAGTTGCTGGGCAGTGAAAACAGGACATAGATCCTTCCCTTTATTGAGTAAAGAAGCAGTGGCAGTTTATATACTGTATACAGTATGTCTATCTTCACAGGTTCCCTTTCATAAAGGAATGAAATTAACACTATACTGTACAATGGTGACATCTAGTGGCAGATTAATGGAATCACATGCATCATAAACATTTACATGGAATAATCTGCTGGCAATAAGAACTCAGTCTGTGGATTTGCATTTCCTTTTCATTATTATGTGGATGGTCTGTTGTGCACAGATCATAAACAACTAGGATACACGTTGACAATTTAATAATTTTAATAATAATCCCAGGGATTATGGAGTAGGAATACAAAAAATATATCATGAATCCAATCCCAATTTTTACATATAGTTACATAGTTAGTCTGGCTGAAAAGTACATCCAGTTCAACCATTAAAAAAAAAACAAATGATATAATCCTACACCCACAGTTGATCCAGAGGAAGGCAAAAAACTCAGCAAAGCATGATCCAATTTGCTCCTGCAGGGGAAAACATTCCTTCCTGATCCCCCGAGAGGACAATCAGATATTCCCTGGATCAACTTTACTTATAAATGTCAGTAACCAGTTTTATTCTGTGTATCCAAGAAAGAATCCAGGACTTTTTTTAAAGCAATCCATGGCGCTGGCCAGAACCAACTCTTGAGGGAGTCTATTCTACATTTTCACAGCTCTTACTGTGAAGAAACCTTTTCGTATTTGGGGATTAAATCTCTTTTCCTCCAGATGTAAAGAGTGCCCCCTTTGTCCTTAATGTAGATTTATTCACCTTGAGGCCATCACAGAGTTCACTATATGAACCACTGATGTATTTTTACATGTTGATCATATTCCCCTTAATCTCCTCTTCTCAAGAGAGAATAAATTTAGTTCCTCTAATCTTTCCTCATAGCTGATCTTCTCCATGCCTCTTATCAGTTTGGTTGCCCTTCTCTGTACTTTCTCCAGTTCCCCAGTGTTCATTTTGTGAATTGGTGCCCAAAACTCTACTGCATAGTCCAGATGAGGTGTTAGTAATGATCTGTACAGGGGTAATATAATATCTCTCTCTCTGGAGTCTATACCTCTTTTAAAAGAGAGAATTTTGCTCTACTACTCTGTATTCTACCATTATTAAGCAACCCCTGCAGGAGCTGCTTAGTAGATTGGGTTCTCTGTTCTTTTTCCTTGACTTTGTGAACTACCTGCCCATCTGAAACACCAGGTTGAACAAATGGATGCTGCAATGCTATTGGGAGCACAAATATAGATATTCTGCGCACAGCTAAGGTTCAGTATCTAAAGGCAAACACCAGACTGGTTAGCGGTAAAGGAACCCAATGTATTGTCACGGGTTAAAGTAAATGGTTGTAGGTACGTAAATGAACAAGTAGAGAATTAGGTCAATTGCAGCTAACTAGACAATAAAGTTACTATATTATAGCAGCTTAGAATGGAAATCTATAGGGCAAAAGTAGACCTGGTAATCCACAAGATCGGCAATAAACAACAGCATTAGAAAACAGTAACAGCAACAGTGATCAATACTGCAATAACTTCTTTGACACCAGTAGGCTATAATCACTTTAGAGTGCACTCTATAAGAATGGCAGCATTGAAATGTAAAACTCCCTAAAGAGGTACCTGTTACTATGGACAACAGGCAAAGTTCTTGCGAAACAGTTATCTGAGTGAGCAGTCCTTAGCCTTAGTTCTTCAGCCAGCTAGCATTGGGGCCCAGCCTTCACAGAGGTGCACATAAGTGCAGTCCCAGTAAAGTCTGCATGCAGTGAATAAGGCTGCTAGTTACATGGCCAGTTCCAATGTGTTCAGTCTCTGCTAACAGCAACAGAATAATGGCAACAGTGTCACCTTACCAGTCCCTGAAATAGAGCCACTTCGATCCTACTGTCCAGGTGTCAGCTTGCTTCTGGATTTCTGCCCTTTGGTATGCATGTTGGAACACTGCGGCCATCTTGGTTCCTATTCACAGGCAGCAAGGCTGAATACACTGAGTTTGAGGTTATGGGCACTTTGCTTGTGAGTTTTATTCTTATAATTTCTCCCCATCATTAAAGTTTTTTATGATTTTACACTATGGGATGTTTGCTTTTGTTTCTGATCACATGCTGAAACTTGGTTTACTGCCTGGGAGGAGAGAAGAAAGTTTAAAAAGGCTCTTTTGAAACTACATTGTCATTTATATCCACGCTGGTCATCATCCAATTGGTTACTATCAGCCAGATCGCATGATTCTCAGGAACGAATATTGATGCCATTCTTGCCATCACGCATTGGGCTAGTGCCAAACCAAGCGCTTAAGACCAACCTAGAGATAGGTGGTCCACGGCTAACGGTGAGTGCACATCCATGTGGGGCACTGATTGAGTACAGAGGAGCACCTGTCATTTTTTGCACGAAGTTCACCAATTAGTATTCAACGCTTGGGTACTTTATTTTTCCGAATTTGGATTGAATGTTACAATTATTCACTTTGTATATGTGAAGCAATATTACTCATGTATTGTCAAAATTAATGCACTTAATTTATGCGCGGTATACTTATCAAAGTTGCATGAATTTTTATTCCTAAGCGCAACAGCACTATATTTTATTTTCTGGTGCAACTTAGGTCATCAGCACACTGGTAACAATGTCCCAAATTCTGGCTTAGGCATGTTGAAGGTTGTTGTGCACTCAGGAGTATAGATATAGCAAGTCTTCTGAGAACCTTGCAACCTTTGAAACCATACAGAAAAATATGAATGTGTTTTTTGAAGCGAACCTCTTATGATTTGCCAGTTAGAGGCAGGTTAACAGATTATGACTTTTGCACACATGATAAATTCCTAAGTGTCAGGTTGGCCATAGACAGTTTGAATCTTGTCTGCTTCAGCAAGAACCAGCGAAGATTCAAACCATGTGTGGGTAGGTTGAAAGTACCAAGCTGATTCATCCATCAGCTTGGGTACAACCAGCCTGCCAGATTCATGTACGATTATAGCTAGCGGCTGCTATAGACGCTAGCACTAATCACAGTCTTCTCCCGGTAGGGACGGCTTATCCCATTAATAATAATAAATAATAAAACCCCATAATAACCATTTAATTAGTTAACTAAACAACATCTAGAGTTGTGTTTTTTTAACGTTGCTTTTTTTTGTTATGATGCCAAACCAGGGGCCTCTGGTTCTGTGTGGTTTTACCTATCTATTTATTATTCATTGTGATCAACTGTCTAGAAATCATCCTGGAAATTAAATAATGTAATAGTCTAACTAATAAAACCCTTGTAACAAAAGTTGGTTATTAGAGAGAACACACTGCCCCCACAACGTTTGTTGCACTAGAAGTGTAAAGAGGGAACCCAGAAACTTGATTCTTGGGTGTGAAGAGCAGACACTTCCCATCAGAACCACCTCTCCTCGGAGTGATAACTGTCTTCTGTTTTAGTAAAATACATCTTTTTCGGAGTCATAACTTTGATAAAGGTGGTATGAATTGGTATAGGTTATGTTCTTGTACCCAGAGAGGGAAATTACAATGTGATATCAGCCTCCATAATATTCAGCTTTGCTTTATGTAAGGATGTTCACAGTACACAGTACTTGTGGGTTTGACTTTGTTGACTGGGTGATGTTCAGATTTATGTGCGGCATTTGCAGAGTTTGCATTTATGATAAACACTATATTATGTTTAGTCAGTCACCCATTTGTCCTTAGTATAATAACTGTACTCCAATTTATTGCAGATAGCTAGTCCTAATAAAGCCTATGAGGCAGGCCATAGACGGTGCGAAATACGCATGATTCCCCCATCAACACAGACCATGCTGACAGGGGAATCTCTCCTAAAACTATAGTGCAGAGCTAAGATAAATTAAATGTAAGCACAATGCAATAGTGCAATGCAAATATATCAAACTCTTGTGTCACCACAAATTGAAAAAAATAAACCAAAGGAATCCAGATGTGAAGTCAAAAACTGTGAATTCAGTGGTTCTTCGATTATGAGGGAAATGACAGATGTGGATACCAAACACCACCAAACTTCTTAATGATGAACCACACAGCACCACAGCTGGTGGGTGATCCTTAAGTGGTTAAGCCAGTAGCAGCACTCTGTACTCTTCAGACTACACAGTATAACACTTTAAGGCAACACTTGTCCCCTTAAGTGAGTCTCCAGAAATCCATGCAATGACCTCTGGCAATAGTTTTCTACACAGCTCTCCAGGACACTCTTTAGTAATAAAGTATTTACCTCTAGTGGTCCATTTCAGGTAGCCTGATATTCCCCTCTAGCAAAAACCCTTCCAAGGTGGCAGACCTGGGAGGCACTGGCCTCAAACACATAGCCTACTCTCCTGTCAGCAGCCCAGGAGCCAAAAGACCTTCCAGAGGGTCACCCCAAATATTTTTCCCTTCCGCAGGATTCACCACTGGAGATACATCTCTGAATGGTTGGCCAGGGAGACATAAATACTCATAACTCACAATTATTGTAGCAGCAGGCAGAGTCAAGCGACAAAAGTAAGCTTAGGGAAAACCTAGTGACTGCAGAACTATAAAAATTAGAACTCAGGCTGCTTAGGCAAGGACCCTACTAGTGATGAGCACAATATACCAGAGTTCAGTTATAAGAACATGACTAAAGTTTGTGTCACGTACCTGGTTGGGGAACCTGACGTGGAGAGGAGGCGTCCTCTTACTACTCCCGCTCGGAGCCCCTGATAGTGGGAACAGAGGGCACGGAGCCAGGAGTGGCACGAGTGCCGGGTGGGTCTGGAGCTGATGGTAGGCAGGTGAAGACCCAGAAGATCCGGATGCAGGCCAGGTGCGGATGCAGGAATGTGCGTGCAGGAGCAGACAGGTATGGCGGCAACCAGGATGCAGACCAGGAGCGGACACAGGAGAGTAGGTGTGGCAGCTGGCAGGTATGGCGGTAACCAGGGTGCAGACCAAGAGCGGACACAGGAGCGTTGGTGCGGCAGCAGGCAGGTATAGCGGTAACCAGGGTGCAAGAACATAGGTGCAGCAGCAGATAAGTATGGCAGCAACCAGGATACAGGCCAGGTGCAGATACAGGTATGTATGTGCGGCAGTGTCAGACTAGCCGGGTCAGGATAAATCGAGCGAATCAGGTACAAGGGAGCAGGCAAGCGGATAGTCAGGGATAAGCCGGGTCAGTGCAGGCGGAGTTCTTTCTTAGTCAGGGTCATATCAGATACAGGCAACAGAATCAGGTTATGAAGTGCACAATGTTATAGACCACAAAGGCATAGGCTAAACTGTGCTGGAGGTTTAAATAGCCCGCCTTGCGGTGACGTGTGCACATGCGCTCACTCGCATGCTCCTGTGCATGCACACCCGCACACTCCCATGCATGCACACTTGCACCGCCGCGGCTGAAAGGAATCCAGCACCAACGCACAGCTGCGTGGCAGTGAGGGAGAGATCCCTGACAGTTTGGGTGCCGAATCTGAACTCCACTGAAGTCAATGATTGCTGAATATTAAAAAAACAGTAATGGCCATATTATAGGCTAATAGACAAGAGATCATCAAACAAATGGCAAAAATTAAGTTTGGGAGAGAAGATTTCAATAAAGCTTTAAGAACAGCCTTTTATGTGAAGTGGTGCATCTATTTGATGCATATAACTCCTACAGCAAAACTGACATTGCCCAAAAAAATGCAGTTTAAATTGTTGGCAAAGGACAGCTTAACCACTTGCCGCCCGGCCTATAGTCAAATGACGAACACCTCGTCCCTTTGGTAGAGCGTCATATGACATCCTTTCCACACCACGCATTGCACGTGCCTACAGGGTTGTGCTGTGGCGAGATCTGCCACTGGCCGTGTACCTTGGACACGGCCGATGACAGATCTGTGTACCGGCCCCGTTTGCCAGTGCCATGTGACCTGCTGTGACCAATCACAGCAGGCCACATGACAGTTGTATACAATGGCTGGCTTCCATCCATTGTATACAAGTGTGTCTAGCTGTGAATGCTCACAGGCTGGGCCAATCACAGCCCATCTGTGTCATATGATTAGCCATGGCCAATCACAGCTAATCACAACAAAAAAAAACCTGAATTAATCGATTTCATTCAGTTAAATGCTTGCTTATAGCAAAGAAATTATTTTTTCACTGACATAATTCCCCATACAGAAACAAAGAAAGGGGGAACTATAGGCATTATAGCCCCTACAATCATCAATTCAATGTCCCTGTACATAATAGGTTCCAACCCTTGGATGGTTGGAGAAGTAACCACCCATATTATGAAGGTAGCCCAAGGGGTAACAGAAGTAATGGAAATTTTTTTTCAGAGGGAGTACAGGGGAAGACCTCCAGTGCCCCCGCCCAGAGCCCCATATTACCAACCACGTTGGGGAAGGGGAATACCAAGGGATCATCACAATCAATACAAGGGGGACATGGAAAGAGGACTTGCTCAAAGAGGGGAAAAGGGGACAGGATCCATCAGTCAAAGTCCAGGAATTCAAGAACAAGAGATAGGAAAAGGGAACGACAACAAAAAGGAAAAGAAAGAAAGTATAGGGGAAGGCATTTATAATTTGAGTTCTATTCCATTAACAGAAAATGAAATTAAAGTGTTGGATAGGGGCCTTAAATTCACACCCAAATCCAACTTAAATAAATTTGATACATATATAGATATTAACAAGTATGTTAGGAAACTTAATATACAAAAATATTTTGCCTCCTTAGCTGGTCCAACCAATTCCGCTAATAAAACCACAATATTTAATATTTATACACATAGTGGATTAAAACATAAATCTACATTTAATCCTGTGATTGTGAAAAACCAGAATATTGAGGTGTTTAAGCAAATGGTGATTGGAGATCTGAAAGATCTTCACATTAGGAGATACAAGGAGGAAGATTTTTTTCACCAAGGTCTTTTATCATTGAAACAAAAGAATAATATTGTGATCAGACCTGCTGATAAAGGTGGAGGTGTAGTGGTAATAGATAGGAATGCGTATGAGGAGGAAATGAGTACAATCTTGAGTGATGGTAATACATATATTAAAATAAAAAAAAATCCCACACATGCTTATAAAAAACAGCTTCAAAAGCTCATTGAGTTAGCTAAGGAAGAAAAAATAAGTGATAAAGAGGCTAAATATCTTATCCCTTCACACTGTAAAATGCTGATTATCTACTACTTACCCAAAATTCATAAGAATTTAATTAAACCCCCTGGGAGACCTATTCTTAATGGGATAGGATTTCTGCAACCAGTAGTTAAATTAATGCCTTCTTATCTTAAGGATGGAAAGGATATCATTGATTTAATCGAGAATATGACGGTGTCACAGGAGATTTATCTGGTTACTATAGATGTCAATTCACTATATACCAGTATAAAACATGATGATGGTATTAGAGCAATTAAATGGGCATTAAAGGAATACACGGAACTACATATCAAACAGAGAAAATTTATTATTCAATGACTGGAATTTAGTATGAATAAAAATTACTTTTGGTATAATGGAGAATATTATGAACAAAAGAAAGGCGTGGCAATGGGCGCAAAATTTGCACCCAGTTTGGCAAATATTTTCTTAGCAAAATGGGAATACAGGGAAATCTTTGGGAGAGAATGGATAGGCCTAAAATTTTGGAGAAGATTTATTGATGACATTATGATGATCAGAGAAGGCCCTTTAGATTATTTAAACATATTTTTTATAACACATTAAGGATAATCAATACTATTTGGGGTTCACGTACACTATACATACCGAATCGGTTAATTTTTTGGATCTAAATATTTTTAAATATGAGAATAAATTATATTCCAAGACATACTTTAACTAGCTGCCGACCGCAGATAGCCGAATGACGGCTGCACTGCGGCCGGCCAGTTCTGGGTGGACGTCATATGACGTCCTCCCAGAACGCGCTCTCCTGCGCGCCCCAGGGGGCGCACACCCGGCGATCTCCGTGATCGCTGTGTCCTACGGACACAGCTGATAACGTGGTGTGGTAAAAGGCCAATCACAGCGGCCTTTTACCACGTGATCAGCGGTGTCCAATGACACGCTGATCAGAGGAAAATGCAAGTGCCGGTTCTCGGCTGCACTTTCCTCATGCTGTCAGATCGTGAGGAAAGTACTGCCGAGAACCGGCAGTTGTCAGAGGGGGGATCGGCACCGATCATCAGGGCACTGATGATCAGTGCCCTGATGATCGGTGCCCAGCAGTGCCACCCGCAAGCTCCGCCCACCTGTGCCCAGCAGTGCGCCCACTAGCTCCGCCCACCTGTGCCCAGCAGATCACCCACCTGTGCTCAGCAGTGCACCCACCTGTGCCCAGCAGTGCACCCACCTGTGCCACTCTGCAGTGTCACCCACCTGTGCCCAGAAGTGCCACCCACCTGTGCCCACCTGTGCCAGTCAGTGCCACCAGTCAGTGCCCAGGGGTTGTGCCAGTCAGTGCCGCCAGTCAGTGCCCAGCAGTGATGCCAGTCAGTGCCGTCTATCAGTACCCATCATCAGTGTCACCTATCAGTGCCGCCTATCAGTGCTGCATATTAGTGCCGCCTATCCGTGACACCTCATTAGAGCTGTCTATCAGTGCCGCCTATCCGTGCCACCTCATTAGTACTGCCTATCAGTGCCCTTTAGTGCTGCCTATCAGTGCCGCCTATCAGTGCCCATCAGTGCCGCCTCATCAACGCACATCAGTGAAGGAGAAAAATTACCTGTTTGAAAAATTTTATAATAGAAACAAAGAAACTTTTTTTTCAAATTTTTTGCATTTTTGTATTTATAGCGCAAAAAGTAAAGCGCCCAGTGGCGATTAAATACCACCAAAAGAAAGCTCTATCTGTGAGAAAACAATGATCAAAATTTCATATGGGTACAATCTTGCATGACCGCGCTATTGTCAATCAAAGTGCGGCAGCGCTGAAAGCTGAAAATTGGCCTGGTAAATAAGGGGGTATAAGTGCCTGGTAGGCAAGTGGCTCAGGAAACAGACAGGAATGGATATATTCCAACCTACAGCTGCCATCACCCCCAATGGATCCAAGGTATACCTAAGGGGCAGTTTACTCGGATTATGAGGAACTGCTCAAGATTAGGTGATTACATTGAGCAGTCATACATTATCAAGGAAAGATTCATACAGAAATGGTATGACTCTGAGAAATTAGAAACAATTAGATTTAAAATTAGTCAAAATTATTTGGGGGATGGTAAAATTAAGAAAAATCAGGATTTGAAAATAGAGAAAGAGAAAAAGGTTGACTATGCGTTTATTTCTTGATTTAGCTGTCAGTATAAGGATATGGAAGCAATTTTTAAAAGATATTGGCCTATCATAAAAAAGGATAAAATCTTGGGGTCCGTATTACCGGATAAACTATATTTTATTTATCGAAAAACAAACAATCTCCTTAATATGTTAGTGAAAAGTGTTATTTCTCCTCCCAAAAAAAAGAAAAATGCAAATGTTTGATTTTAAAGGTTTTTATCCATGTAAAAAATGCAATATATGTAGAGTAACTGGTGCCAATAGAAGAGTTATACCAAATTTCACCTCCTGTACTACTGGAAAAGAGTTTTATATTAATCAATTTGTTACATGTTCTACTACATATGTGACATATTTGCTAGAGTGTCCATGCCGGCTCCAATATGTGGGGAGAACCAAAAGACCCCTCCATAAAAGACTTAGATTGCATGTGGCCAATATTAAAAATGGTAAAAAAAGACCATAGCCTATCCAGACATTTCAAAGAATATCATAATTGTGATCCTAGACTAATAAATTTCTGTGGTATAGATACAATTGTATCACATTGGAGAGGTGGTAATAAAATCCAAAGTATTTTAAAAAAATGAAATTTTTTTTTAGATTTTTCAATTAGAGACACTCAAACCAAAAGGTCTCAATGTAGATTTAAATCTAAATTGTTTTATCTCTAATACTTAATGACAGTGTTCTTTATCTAGATAAGATAGGGAATGGATATTTGATATTGATTTTAGATGTTTTAACAATGAGTGAGAATAAAGATCTAGGTTGGAGATATGAAATTATAAATAAGTGTATTAAATATTGAGTATATATGGATATTGTAGTGTATTAATTATAAGGGAAGGGTACTTGAGATAATATTGTTTTTAAAGAATGTTGTTTTTAAGAATTTTTTTAGAACTTTTATAAAAAAAAAAAAAATTAAGATTAAAACCTACAAATATCAAGAAAAAAGCT